GCTTCGCCTTTGGATCCTGACCAGGCAGGAGGCAGAATAAAAGGAAGCCGTTTAAAGGTGGGAGGAGGGAAAATCCCGAGGAATTCCCAATTCACGACAAAAAAGGCAAAGGGAAGTTTGCAATTTGGGCTGGCAGGCTGGCTTGCTGGCTTTCTTGCCCACGCCAACTCCCTTCTCTTTGCTTGCAGCCAGGCGATTCCGAGTTTAAGCGCAGCTCCTAGCAACCCCGAGGAAAATCCCATGAATGGGGTTGGGGAGACTCAATTAAGGTGCTTGTAACCCCCCCACGCAAGGGCAGAGACCAACCCCACAAATGGCCATCCTGGCTCATGCCTGCACAAAGCAGCAACTCAAGATCTAGACTGGGGGGGGGGGTTCAACAGAAAAGAGGCGAGAGAGTGAACAACACCTTGGATGCACCAGCCTGTCTTCTGCTGCCCACAGCAGCCCCCCTCCCTCGCAAGCCACTATTCATTTTTAGCAGCTGCAGATCCGATTTTGCCAACCAAAAATAAAAATACCTGGGGATTGGGGGGGGGGCGCAAGGGAGAGAAAGAGAGAGGTACCAAGTCTGCACCTTGCTTTAAGAATGTGCTTTCCAGTGTTTTTTTAAAAAAAGCTAAGATTTAAAAAATATAATCTAAAAGCGCTATTTAAAAAAGCAATTGCACTGAATGCATCAAGGCGAGCTGGCAGAAAGAAAAGATGATCGCCGGCGCTTTTATTCACAGACACCAGACTTTTTTTCCCTAGATCATAAAATGTCCATTCCTCCCTCCAAAAGGGAGGGAATCAAAATACAAAAGGAACCCACCCCCACGGCAAAGCCCTCCAGCGTGCTGATTCCACAGCTAACAACCCTTCCTTCCCTCCCTCCTTCCTCCTCCTGCCTCACCCCCCCAACTCCCCACCAGTCCGTCTCCCCTCTTCCACCGAAGCGTGAGCGACTGCATGCAAGCATGATCTGGAGCAGCTCTGCCGGCTTCACAGATTCCCCGGGAAGATACGTCACGGATGCCAATGTCCGGACTGTGGCTTCTGATTGGTAAAAAGGCTGGGAGAAGGTGGGCTGAGTCGTTGGCACTTGCTAGCTCTACCTGAGAGGCGGGGAGTTGCTCCTTTGATGCTTTAAGTCTTAACATTCTCTGTGTTGTTTTTAATCCTCCTGGAGATGGATAGAGGAGCAGTTTCTCGGTTCCTAAGACCATCGGAAATATATGTTTTTCGATGGTCTTAGGCAACCCCTGTGAAAGGATCATTCGACCCACAAAGGGGTCGCGATCCACAGGTTGAGAACTGCTGTCCTAGTGAGTCATTTCAAAGATGGGCTGAACCTGTACCACACGTGCATCACCGAGGGAGACCCGGACCGCCTCCACAACTGATGTATCCTAGTTGACCAAGCCTGAAGTCAGTGATGCCTGGGACAAACCTGGAGATGCTTCCCCCAGAGTGAAAATGAGAAGTGATAACCCCCCCCCACTGCAGCACCATGTTCAACAGCTTGCTTCAACTGCAGTAAGGAGGGACATCAGGCTGCAGAATGCCGTTCGAAAACTCCTGTGCACAATCCTGACTGATCCGGTGGAGGGAAGCCTGAAAAGACTCCACAATGACCCAGGGAGACCGCCATGAAAAGGGTTGAGGTTGTCGAGGTCCAGTCCCCTGGGATCCTGGGGGAAGGAACTCTGGCCCCGACTGGAAAACCACCCAACTCTCTTGACAGTGACTCTGAAGACAAACCCCTGGTAAGTGGACCCATCACGCCCCTCACCAGAACCATAGAACTGTTAAGTCCAGGGATGATGAGAAAGGTGACCCTGAAGGTCCTACTGGATTAAGATTGCACTCGTTGCCTAATAAGACCAACCTTGGTGGGGAACCTAGGGATTCCAGTGAGGAGGCTGAAGAAGTCAATATTGTTGGCCAGTTAGATGGGTCCATCTCAGGAGGGATCCCAGCCACCCTTACCATGCAGCCAATCCATCTTACAATGGAGGATCACACAGAGACTTTTACATTTATAGTGACCCCTGGCATGGAGTTGGGAATTACATGGTATAGTGACCCCTGGCCCCTAATATTGGGAATTACATGTTGAGGAAGGAACCCAAGGGTGGACTGGAGGACAAGAGAGTTGAGGTTTCCAAAAGAGAGGCCCACCGTACGGGGGTGTGAGACTGCAGAACAAAGAGGAAACGAGCCCCGGAAGTGGTAGCAACTGTGAAAGATCAGGAGTTGGAATCTGTGCCCAAGGAATACCGGGATCTAGTTGAGGTGTTCAGCAAAGAGCAGTCTGACGAGCTACCTTCCCATTGCCCCACTTACTGTGCCATTGAGATCCTACCATGAGCCAAACTACCTAAGCCCCAAATATACTCAATGACTCCCTGGGAGCTAGAAGAGTTACAGAAATTTATAGAGAAAATTTGGCGCAAGGTTTCATACAGGCAGCAAGACCAAAAACGGCAGCCCTGGTTTTGTTCTGAGCAAAAAAAGACAGATCTCTTTGCCTCTGCATGGACTATAGGTCTTTAAACGCAGTGTGCAAAAACAATATCTATCCCCTGCCACTAATGAAGGAAATGTTGGCCCATCTAGCAAAGCGGAAAATATTCTCGAATTTAGACCTACAAGAGGCATATCACTGGGTTAGGATTAAGGAAGGAGATGAGTGGAAGACAACATTTAACTGCTCCATGGAGTGCTTCCAATTTAGGGTGCTCCCGTTTGGACTGCAGGGCATGCCAGCAGTGTTCATGTAACTAATCAATGAGGTCCTCCAGGAGCACCTATACAAGGGGGTTCTTGTGTATTTGAATGACATCTTAATTTTCACTGAAACAAAGGAGTAGCTCATCAAATTAGTCAAGGCGGTGCTAAATAAACTGTGGGCCGCCCGACTCTAAACCAAGCTGTCAAAGTGTGAGTTTCATAAGGAAAAGATTGACTCTTTGGAATATCGCATATCTCATAAGACTGAAATTCATACAACTCTGTCATGACTCAAAGGTAGCTGGACATTTTGGGTTCATAAAGACACTTCACCTCATGAAGAGGCAATTTTGGTGGCCGTCCATTAAGAAGACAATGAAAGCTATGTGGCTAGCTGCCCCATTTCTGTAGCTGCAAAACGAAGGTGGTAGCAAACCCGTCAACACCTTGGTGAGAGATTTCTGTGAGTTTTATCATAGATCTACCAGAGAGTGCAGGGAATACGATCATTTGGGTGGTGACAGACCTATTCTCCAAACAGGTGCACCAAGATTCCCACCGGCCAAGACTCTAGCAAAGCTGTTTGTACAGCATATCTACCAACTGCATGCAGCTCCGCAACGCACAATTCCAGACGGGGGTGCAGAGTTCTGGAGAGCCTTTTTGGACCTTCTGAGAACTGCCCAGGGCCTGTCATCTAATCATCATCCACAAACAAATGGTGGGACAGAATGTTCAAACTCAGTATTTGAACAATATTTAATCTGCTTTATTAATTATCAACAAGACAGTTGGACCGACCTACTTCCTTTTGCGGAAGTGGCTTATAACAAGGCTGTTCGCTCCAGCACGGGTTACACCCCATTCCAGATCACAACAGGACAAAGTTTCAACCCAACACCTGAATTGCTAGTCAACGAATCCACCATCCCCTCCCTGAAGGAATGGATTAAATAACTCCAAAATATGTGGCTGGTAATGAGAAAGGCATTAGATGAGGCTAGGGAAGCTTACAAAGTGCAGGCAGATAAGAAGTGGATAAAACCTAAGCTGTTTAAAGTCGGGGAGAAAGTATACTTGTCAACAAAGTATTTAAAATCTCTATAGCCATAGAAGAAATTAGGGCCAAAATTCGTGGGGCCATTCCCCATTAAAAGGGTTATCAACCCAGTAACCGTAGAATTGGAACTCCCAAAAATGTTAAGACAGGTTAAACCAGTATTTCATTGTAGCCTATTAAAACGTGAACTAAACTCACCTTTAAGGCCAACCAACTTATTATGGTGGAGGGGGAACAGCATTTTGAAGTCAAGGAGATCCTGGATTTTAGGAAACACCATGAATCAATACAATACTTAATAGCTTGAAAAGATCTCCCATCTTCCCAGAATGGGTGGGTTCAGAAACAACATGTCAGGGCTCCTAAGTTGTTAAAAAAATGTCATGCTCAGTATTCTGATAAACCTGACTAAACTATATGTACTTTTCTCTCCCTGTTATCATTTTATTTCTCTCCAGGTAGATCTCTCATTTTTTTAAGGGGAACGGCATGTCAGAACCCTGTCTTTCTATGGGCAGGGGGCTTCTTGTTCTTTTTTGGGTTCTGCCATCTTCTGGGGGAAGGGGGAAGCTTGGGGTTGCTGACATGTATTTCCTTTGCTTTGTTCCTTGCCCTATCCTCTTTGATGTTTCTCTATCGGGGTGAGAATGGAATGTGCGTCCGGCCATTTGCCTTATCTCCAGGCATGGAAGAAGAGACCTAACAGCCTTGGAAGCGGTGCCTTATCACTCCATTTCCAGTGTTTTCATACCTGGAGATTGGCCTATTTGAACCGTCTGGATGGACAGTTGGGGTGGGGTTATCATTGACTCTTTTGACTATTGATTCATGTGGGAAACCCTCAGATCCTGCCTTCTATTGCTGCTGTCAATACCTTCCAATAAAAGTTCCTTTTAAAATGATGTCCATTTCAAGAGTTCTGCTTTCTTGGGAGGACTGATTGAGACAGGTCCTTACAGGAGGATTCTGCATCCTGTACCTTGATTTTCAGAAAAATAAATGACAGTTTTCAAGTCGGCATGGTTGTATTTGCAAAGTGGATTTTGGGGAGACAGAGGGCTGCGAGAAATTAAAGAGTTATTTTAATATTTATAATTTCATTTTTTTAAAGGGATCAACATGCAAAAAATAAATAATCAATACACATTAAGAGTGTAGCCAAAGTATTGGCTTTTTGTTTTGCTTTTTTGCACAACTAACTTGTTCATTTACATTTTGCCTTTAGAACCATAGGCTATAAAAAGAAATATGTGAAAATTCCACATGGCTATATATGGGTAGAAGGCGATCATCATGGGCACAGCTTTGACAGCAATGCTTTTGGTCCGGTAAGAACAGAATTATTGTACAAAACACTATGTTCATGTCATAAAATATATAATATTTTATTACAGTATAAAATATAGACAATAAGAGTGTACCATTTAAGCTTCTTTATGAGCATTAAGAAAGATTGCTAGGAGGAGCTTCTCCCATCAGAGAGTTGAGGAAACTTTTAATGACTGATATTTAAAAGGCAAGGAAAAGCCTTCTTTGATCTGAGTGTGACTCATAACTTCCTCTTCCAAAAGAACATTTGGAATAGCCATAGTTTCTCTTGTATTTGGCAAAGCTACTGACTCTACTTTCTTCCATTCTGCTATAATTAGAGCCTTAGGATACTGTGTATTCCTATTATGATTTGACATTTATTTAGTGCCAACTGTGGACTAGGGGATAAATAAGATACAGAAAAGCCAAGCGGTTTTTATAAAGCATATTAGACAACAATGTCTGGAACAGAGGTAAGAGAGTGACTGTTAAATGAAGATGAAAGCACTGAATGCTGTAGAAGAAAAATATATGATTTTCTTAGAAGAGAAGTGGATCTTCAAAATTTATTTCCAACCATCTGTTGAGTTGAAAAAATAATGACAAAAAGTGAAATGAACATTAGAGAGAGGTAATGATATTGGGAGGGAAACAAGAAAGAAAGGGAGAACAACATTTGAGGGGAAGTAAAGGGCAAAAGGTAACTTAACAAGGGTGGAAAGAAACAAAGTGTCCCTAAAGGGCTTTGGACAAATATTACTACTTTCTAAGTTACATGTAATCCTCATGCTAATCTTCAAGAGCATCATGGCTTTTTGTAATCATTTACACCAGGGTCCCCAGTCCCGGGCCGTGGCCCACTACTAGGCCTTAAGCCATTTGGAACCAGGCTGTAGAAGTAATGGGCAAACACACTTGTGTGTTCACGCATCCCCACTTGCATGAGCAGCAGGCTAGTGCAAGCACATGTGCTCCATTTGCTCGTGCCAAACCATCTCCTCTTCCCCTCCCCCCTCGCCAGTCTGCAAACTGGAAAGGTTGGAGAACTCTGATTTACACCATTTGGCTATTCTTTGTTTTCAACAATTTTTTTTGTCCTTATCAGCAATATAAAGACGTCCTCAAATCACAGGTAAATTATATGTGGCAAAAAATTCAAATATACTGGTCTATAAGAGATAGTTACTATGTTTTGAAGACTTCACCTTCTGCCAAGAAGCTTATTTAATACAGATAAAATCAGACATAGTTACTCATAAAGATTAAGATGCGATCAAATTGAAATTCATGTCTAAAAGCAGGATGTGGATTTTTTGTAGATTGAATAAGTTTGCCTCTAGGTGCAGAAATGAAAGCAGTGTGGGGGGAGAGAGAGGGGGGTAAGTAGGGCAAGAGAGAGAGAGAGAGATTTAAAAGATTGTTGTTGTTGTTGTTAATTGCGAAGTCGTGTCCGACCCATCGCGACCCCATGGACAATGTTCCTCCAGGTCTTCCTGTCCTCTACCATCTTCTGGGTCCATTTAAGTTCACACCTACTGCTCCAGTGACTCCATCCAGCCATCTCATTCTCTGTCGTCCCCTTCTTCTATTGCCCTCCATCTTTCCCAGCATTAGGCCCTTCTCCAGTGAGTTCTTCCTTCTCATCAGGTGGCCAAAGTATTTGAGTTTCAACTTCAGGATCTAGCCTTCTAAAGAGCAGTCAGGGTTGATCTCCTCTAGGACTGACCGGTTTGAACACCTTGCAGTCCAAGGGACTCACAGGAGTCTTCTCCAGCACCATAGTTCAAAGGCCTCAATTCTTTGGCGCTCAGCCTTTCTTATGGTCCAACTTTCACAGCCATACATTGCAACTGGGAAAACCATGGCCTGGACTATACGCACTTTTGTTGGCAGGGTGATGTCTCTGCTTTTTAGTATGCTGTCTAGATTTGCCATAGCTTTCCTCCCCAGGAGCAAGCGTCTTTTAATTTCTTGGCTGCAGTCCCCATCTGAGGTGATCTTGGAGCCCAGAAAAATAAAATCTGTCACTACCTCCATTTCTTCCCCATCTATTTGCCAGGAATTGAGAGGGCCGGATGCCATGATTTTGGTTTTCTTAATGTTGAGTTTCAAGCCAACTTTTGCACTCTCCTTCTTCACCCGCATCAAGAGGCTCTTTAGTTCCTCTTCACTTTCTGCCATTAGAGTGGTATCATCTGCATATCTTAGGTTGTTGATATTTCTCCCGGCAATCTTAATTCCAACTTTTGATTCATCTAGCCCTGCCTTTCTCATGATGTGCTCTGCGTATAAGTTAAATAGGCAGGGCGACAGTATACAGCCTTGCCGGACTCCTTTTCCAATTTTGAACCAATCAGTGGTTCCGTGTCCAGTTCTCACTGTTGCTTCTTGACCCGCATATAGGTTTCTCAAGAGACAAATGAGATGGTCTGGTACTCCCATCTCTTTAAGAACTTGCCACAATTTGTTGTGATCCACACAATCAAAGGCTTTTGCATAGTCAATGAAGCAGAAGTAGATGTTTTTCTGGAACTCCCTAGCTTTCTCCATGATCCAGCGTATGTTGGCAATTTGATCTCTAGTTCCTCTGCCTCTTCGAAATCCTGCCTGTACTTCTGGTAGTTCTCGATCCACATACTGCTGGAGTCTAGCTTGTAGGATTTTAAGCATAACTTTACTAGCATGTGAAATGAGTGCAATGGTGCGATAGTTTGAACATTCTTTGGCATTGCCTTTCTTTGGAATTGGAATGTAAACTGACCTTTTCCAATCCTGTGGCCACTGTTGAGTTTTCCAAATTTGCTGGCAAATTGAGTGTAGCACTTTTACTGCATTGTCTTTTAAGATTTTGAATAGCTCAGCTGGAATACTGTCCCCTCCACTAGCTTTGTTGTTGCTCAAATTTTCTAAGGCCCATTTCACTTCACATTCTAGGATGTCTGGTTCGAGGTCAGTGACCATCTCATTGTGGTTATCTGGGATGTTAAGCTCATTCTTGTATAGTTCTTCTGTGTAGTTTTGCCATCTCTTCTTAATCTCTTCTGCCTCTGTTAGGTCTCTGCCATTTTGGTCCTTTATCATGCCCATCTTTGCATGAAACGTTCCCTTCATATCTCCAATTTTCTTGAAGAGATCTCTGGTCCTCCCTATTCTGTTGTTTTCTTCTATTTCTTTGCACTGTTCATTTAAGAAGGCATTCTTATCTATTCTAGCTACTCTCTGGAATTCTGCATTCAATTGGGCGTATCTTTCTCCTTTGCCTTTCGCTTCCCTTCTTTCCTCAGCTATTTGCAAAGCTTCCTCAGACGGCCATTTTGCTTTCTTGCATTTCTTTTTCTTTGGGATTGTTTTAGTTGCTACCTCTTGTACAATGTTGCGAACTTCCATCCATAGTTCTTTAGGCACTCTGTCTATCAGATCCAATTCCTTAAATCTATTTGTCACCTCTACTGTATATTCATCAGGGATATGATTTAGTTCATACCTGAGTGGCCTAGTGCTTTTCCCTACTTTTTTCAATTTAAGCCTAAATTTTGCAACAAGAAGTTCATGATCTGAGCCACAGTCAGCTCCTAGTCTTGTTTTTACTGACTGTATAGAGCTTCTCCATCTTTGGCTGCAGAGCAAATAGTCAATCTGATTTCTATGTTGACCGTCTGGTGATGTCCATGTGTAGAGCCGTCTCTTGGGTTGTTGGAAAAGAGTGTTTGTTATGACCATCGTATTCTCTTGACAAAATTCTATCAGCCTGTGCCCTGCTTCATTTTGTACTCCAAGGCCAAACTTGCCTGTTATTCCGGTTATCTTTTGGCTTCCTACCTTAGCATTCCAATCCCCCATGATAATAAGGACATCATTTTTTGGTGTTAATTCTATAAGGTGCTGTAGGGCTTCATAGAACCGGTCAATTTCATCCTCTTCAGCACCAGTGGTTGGGGCATAGATTTGGACTACTGTGATATTGAATGGTTTGCCTTGGATTCGAATTGAGATCATTCTGTCATTTTGGGGATTGTATCCCAGTATTGCTTTTCCTATTCTTTTATTGACTATGAAGGCTACTCCATTTCTTCTGAGGGATTCTTGCCCACAGTAGTATACCTGATGGTCATCTGAGTTAAATTCACCCATTCCTGTCCATTTTAGTTTGCTGATTCCTAAGATGTCGATGTTCAGTCTTGTCATCTCTTTTTTGACTACGTCTAGCTTGCCTTGATTCATGGATCTTACATTCCAGGTTCCTATAGAGAAAAAATCTTTACAGCATCGGACTTTCCTTTCACCACCAGATATATCCACAGCTGAGCGTCCTTTCGGCTTTGGCCCAGTCGCTTCATTCTTTCTGGCGCTACTAGTACTAGCCCTCTGTTCTTCCCCAGTAGCATATTGGACACCTTCCGACCTGAGGGGCTCATCTTCCAGCGTCATATCTTTTTGCCTTTTAGTACTGTCCATGGGGTTTTCATGGCAAAGATACTGGAGTGGTTTGCCATTTCCTTCTCCAGTGGATCACATTTTGTCAGAACTCTCTGCTATGACCTGTCCGTCTTGGGTGGCCCTGCACGGCATAGCTTATAGCTTCATTGAGTTACGCAAGCCCCTTCGCCACGACAAGGCAGTAATCCATAAAGGGGTTTAAAAGTTTGCCTTAAGTTTAACATGAGGAGAGATAATCAGTAGTCCATTTTCTTGCTGGGTGGAACTGGAATTGGAAACTGGAAGGCCACAGATTTCTTACCTTAACCTTCTAAATACAGTGGAACAAGAAGATAACTGCTTAGGAATATTTTGGTATCTAATGTATGTCATTAAACAGTTGGTAATTCTCTTTTTTTCTAGCAAAGTAGGCAAAAAATAATATATGCTAACATGCAGCAAAATCTCTTGATGATTATTGCCATTAAAGCCCTATTTTAGAAATATTGTTTAACACTGGATTGTTTTAGCTTCATTGTCCATTTTGTCTATAATATTTTATGATAAGAGAAAATAAAGTTATTGATGCACATAGAAATTG